GAAAAGTACGAAAGAACTATACATTCACTGCAATGAATGTGGTAATGTGATCGGTATATTACATACATAGATACATACATAGTACTTCAATATCGTCCTACAAGCTTCTGCAAGTTACGTTCAAGTTAAAAGTTACAATATGCCGAAGAAAAAGACAGGTCAAAGAAGGAAAGCGGAGAAACAAAAACTGAGACAAAAAGAAATTCGAACTGCAAAAGATCAAGTTGATCTAGCTAAATTTCCTTGCAATGCAGTAATGGTAAAGTATAATTATAACCTCAATTTAAGTAAATATAGACAACTGTTACTTATTGTTAAATAAAATTAATGCCATTCGTGATGTCGTATGAAAATTTATAAATACATATACTTGTATATGAAGTTTTAATTTATAAACCACATTTATATTTGTTTTTTGACGATAAAGGAATGTGATAAGTGCAACAAAAAACAGAAAAGCAGGGCATTTTGCTATTTTTGTCAAAGCCTACAACGGTTACCTTTGTGCGCGCATTGTGGAAAGATGAAATGTATGTTAAAAACTGGAGATTGTATCGTTCGTCATCCTGGAATATTTACTACTGGATTAGGTATGGTGGTAAGTGTGTTTCAGAAGTAACCCGAATGTAGTAACTACTATAATTGCAAAATTGTACTTTGAAATTATACTGCATACATACAATCGTAGGGTGCAATATGCGATCATTGCGAAGCATGGGTCTGTCATGGAAGGCGCTGTCTTACAACTCATGCATGTATATGCCCATTGGCGGAAGCAATTTGTCAAGAATGTGAAAGAGGCGTATGGGATCATGGTGGCAGAATATTTCGCTGCTCATTTTGCAACTGCTTCCTTTGCGAAGATGACCAATTTGAACATCAAGCATCGTGTCAAGTTTTGGAAGCAGAAAGTTTTAAATGTAAGAATATCTATAAAATATTTTTTAATTTTTGTTAATGTACTTGGCTAGCAATTCTTATATTTTTATTAAGATTTAATACAAAGGTATTCACAATTCCAGGTCAATCGTGCAATCGTTTGGGCCAATACTCCTGTTTGAGATGTAAAACATGTTATTGTGAAGATCATGTCCGAAGGAAAGGTTTCAAGTATGAAAAAAATAAGCCAATACCTTGTCCAAAATGTAGTTTCGAAACATCTCAGACGAAAGACCTCAGCATGTCAAGTAAGTAACAAAGCAATTTAGGTACAAACATTGTACATTGTTTGTACAATGATATAATTATATTATAAACACAGAGATCATAAACAATAACTGCATGTGAGATTTTAAGACTAAATCCAAGATCATTTTTTTATCATTGTTAAAATTTATAGATCGTATTTAAGATAGCTTAACCAGTATCATTTTTTCTTTTAATAAATTAGTTCAAATATTTCGTCACGTAAACTTTCCAATTTTATTTCAGCACGAAGTCATAAATTTGGTAGACAAAATCAAAGTGGATTCGAATCTGACGAAGAAAGTGATTATAATTATTACGGTACAGAAATTATTTATGTTTTAATGTGCATTTAATGACCTAATAACCTATTAATATGCATTCTTCTTTATTGTAGGAAATCAATCTCAAGGTTATAGTTCTGAGAATTATACTCTCGATGATGAAGATGATGATGAAGATGATGGTGATGATGATGAAGATGATGATGATGATGACGACGATGGTGATGATGATGAAGAGGCAGAAGAGGAGGAACAAAATGAATCATTAAGTGAAACTGAAGAAAATGACAACAAAAAGTTACCACGGACTTAACATTTTAATAGAAATGCTTAGCAAGAATTTAAAAAATATCACTAATGTAAAATTGAATATGTTAAATTGTTGCCTTTATAAAAATTATAATATATTTTGTGGTGGCTACTGTCTATGCTCGCCAGTAGAAGGATAATTTTTAGAGGGAAACACATTTTCTTGTTTCCTTTTTTGTACTGTCCTAAATTGTCCTTATAATTTCCCGCGAAAAAGCCAAGTTCTACTGAATGACTTTACAGTTTTCTAT